GTGTGCCCAGTGTAGGTCTATTTTAGAGTCTTTGTTGTACTAAGATAGGAATAGCTTTGTGGACTCAGTCCTCAGAAGTGATCAGATGATGCCTTATGCATCTACATAGGCAACTCCAGGATTCTTTCCAATCAGAACTTTTTGTTGACAACATTTTAGTTCTCTGTAGTGGTTCAGACTTCAGTGATGGCACCTTGAAAATATTTTGTATTTTTGACTGTCTTACAGTTTTGATGAGAAAAATACTTTAATAGTTAATAGCATGAGGGGATTGCTTTCCTCCCTATTCTTTTTAGCTGTACATAGTAAAAAGCTGACAATCTACTGACCAGAAAGCACACTTGACTTTTCTCCCCACAAAGACAGATCTCCTAGTCTGGAATCCTAGGACTGAGGTGGTGCCAGGTATAAATAATTATTTTTACTTCCTTTTAGCCCCACTTCTGATGGTGCTGCAGCAGCAATTTTGGCTAGTGAATCAGTTGTACAGAAATATGGCCTGCAATCCCAAGCTGTGGAAATTTTGGCACAAGAGATGGTGACTGATTTTCCAAGCTCATTTGAAGAAAAAAGCATTATTAAACTGGTATATCTGAGATTCTGTGTTCTTAATCAAATTGAAGGATTAACTGTTTAAAATTTCAGGGTTTAAAACTTCATATTTTCAGATAACTAGCTCTGGAAGTCATTTACTTGGAAAAATAATGGTCTAAAGATTTTAGTATTATAACCCATCCTTAAGAGTCTGTTGTGGGAATATGACTAATTAGAACAGCTGCTGTTTAAGAGGGAGCCATGTGTTAGTATAGGATAACTTCTAATTAACTACATGTACTATGTATTTGTAGTCTGAGTTGGCGGAATATTCTCAGAATTCCAACCTTCCAGAGTTAGGGGCAAAACTAGATTTCACTGAACTTTCTTGACCCTCAGCACTTCAAAAATCCTGATTGGAGATTGAATACAAAATGGAGGCAGGAAAGAAGATGCGCATTCAGATGTTGAGTTAGTTAAATATTTCAAAATACATACAAACTCATATACATATATATATTGTTGCTAAGTGCCATCGAGTTGGTTTCGACCCATAGCGACCCTGTAGAGGGTTTCCTAGGGAGTGGCTGGTAAACGTGAACCACCCACCTTGCGGTCAAACAGCTTTGTAGCCCAGCGCATTAACCCATAACACCACATCTTGTAATTTACTACAAGATATGGCTTAAGGAATTCAAAGTCATTTTCATATATTTTACTTAAAATTCTGTTCTTTATGGCATGAAATTTAATATGTACAATCTCCTTTCTGAGTATTGTTTTATTTGGACTTTTGTTGTAATGTAGAATCAATTGAGACTATAATGTGTGCTGTCAATTTTCAGTTGTTGAAGTTATACATATATTAATCTCTTAAAACATTTCTTTATCTAAAATGCACAGTTTTGATGTCCTTAATTTTTATGTGATTTTGCTTTTAGGTTGGTTTCGATATGAGTAAAGAAGCTGCCAGAAAGTGCTATGAGAAATCTGGCCTAAGACCAAATGATATTGATGTAATAGAACTTCATGATTGCTTTTCCAGCAATGAACTCCTTACTTATGAAGCATTGGGACTCTGTCCAGAAGGTAACATCTTTGAAGAGGGTTAAATTTCACTGAAATTTACATTTATCATTAAGCAGAATAGTCCACTAGTTGGATTCACTTCCGTGGTGGCTCTGTCACACTGTGCAAAGTGAATGTAAGCAGTTTGGGGGCTGGACTTAAGAAAATGCAGTCTTGGAGAATACCAACTCTCAGATAACAGTGTACCAGTAATTTAACTCAAGGTTACTTAAACTGTTAAATGAGAAAGACAATAATAGAAAATTAAATATGTAATTCCATTTATTTCAAATTGTATTTGAATAAAGAGCTGCAAGAAGGAAAATGGGAAATTAATTGGTGAGATCTGTAGGATTTTTTTTTTTTTTCTTTTCTTTTCATAATTTGTTGTTATAATTTTCCACGAATTGGGCTGCAAACCGCAAGGTCAGCAGTTTGAAACTACCAGCTTCTCCGGGAGAAAGATGAGGCTTTCTGCTCCCGTAAAGATTTTTGTTGTTGTTGTTGTGTGCCGTGGAGTCAGTTCCGACCCATAGCAACCCTGAATAGTTGGAACCAACCTGACGGCACTTAACAACAACAACCAGCAGTTTATGAGAGTTTCATTTGTTTCACTTCCTTGCCAGCACTTGATATGCTCAGCTTTTAAATTTCAGTCATTCTAAACAGTGTATGGGCTCCCTGAGTATTGCAAATCATTAACACATTTGACTGCTCACCGAAAGATTGGAGGTTTGAGTCCATCCAGAGGCACCTCAGGAGAAAGGCCTGGTGATCTATTTCCAAATAAATCAGCCATTGAAAAGCCTATGGAGCAGGGTTCTACTATGGCACACTTAGGGTCACTCACAGTCGGAATCAACTCTATGGGAACTGATTAAAGAGAGTTTATTATTGTAGAGTCCTGGTGTGGCACTGTGGGATAAAGCACTAGTCCACAAGGTTGGTTTGAACTACAAGGTCGGGGTTTAAACTTACCAGCTGCTCCGTGGAAACCCTGTAAAGGGTCGCTGTAAGTTGGAACCAACTTGCTGGCACTTAACAACAACAACATTGTTATTGGTGTGGTTTTAATTTGCATATCCTTGATGGCTACTGATGTTGAGTGTCTTTTCATGTGCGTATTGATTATGCATGTATCTTTTGTGAAATGTCTGCTCAGACATTTTGCCTTTTTGTTGTTGGGTTTTCTTCTCTAGTATAAGAGTTTTTTGTTTGTGTTTTATCTTTATATATTATACGTACAAATAATTTGTCTGATATATGTCTTGTCACTATTTTCTCCCAGTCTGTGTCTTGCCTTTTTGTTTTATTGATAGTGTCTCTTGAAGAATGAAAATTTAAAATTTTTATCAAGTATAGTTTATTAGTTTTTTTTCCTTGCATGGTTCATGTTATTTGTATTCTAAGAAACCTTTGTATCCTTCAAGGTCCTAAAGATTCTTTCCTACTTTTACTTTAAAAGTTTTATAGTTTTAGATTAGTACATGATCCAGTTTGAATCAGTTTTAAGATAAAAGTTGATGTAGATTTTTACCCCCCTTACAATATCCAATACCATTTGTTGGGAAGACCTTTTTTCTTCCCATTGGCACCATTTAAAAAACAAATCAGTTTTTCTGGAAAAGGTGCCATATTTTTAAAACTATATATTTTTACATATGTATATATATTGTTGTTGTTGTTGGTAAGTGCCTTTGAGTTGGTTCCAACTCAGAGAGACCCCCTATAGGGTCTCCGAGGCTAAGCTATAAATCCTTATGGGTGTGGTGACTGGTAGACTCAAACCCTCAACTTTGTGGTTAGCAGTCCAGTATTCCCCACATATATACTTACATGAGGGTAAGTCAAGAAGTATTGCAACTAGGGTTCCAGTTCTTACATGCATGGGTTTATTCCAAATATAATATATTTAAGTATGTCTTTGTAATCAGTGGATCACTGTGGACATGTCTTTGTAATCAGTGGATCACTGTGGACATGTTCTCGCACTAATGCCCTTATCTTAGTCTCATTAGGGTGTCATTAAAAACAGGATACTTTTTATGCTGTAGAAAAAAATGATTTTGAGTTTAGGGTTAATACCAAAATTTTTTTTTTTTTTTTAATTTAAGGTTTTTATTGTAGATTGAGTGA